CTTCTCCCTCTCCCACTCCCCCTGCTTGTGTTCCCTCTCTTGCTGTGTCTCTCTCTGTCAAATAAATAAATAAAATCTTAAAAAAAAAAAAAAAGCTGAGGTGACCGGCTGCCCATCCCCAGGACACTTTGCTCTTGTGATGAGATGTGGGGGTGACTCCGGGGATGGCCTATGGTTCCCACTCCTGGACTGATAACCAGCCACACAGTCTGATCCATCAGCCCCACCGGCCATAGCAAAGCTCAGGGCCGGGGGCCAGAGGGCACCACCTGCTCCGGGACCGAGGGGAGCCACCAGCTCTGCTGGGCTTCCCGGGTAGACCCGGTTCCTCCCCGGCTCCCCCACACCTGAGCAGCTCAACCTGGCTACACAAAATACCGAACTTGTTGGCTGGGCTTTCCTGCCATAGATCTGGGGGTCTGCAGAACAACACTCTCCCCTCACCCCCCCAAGTCCTGCTCCCTTCCTGTGTCAGCTCACAGCCCCCCCCCCTTCACACCAGCAGCCACCTTTCTGCTCTCCTCACACCTCCCTGCTCTCTTCATTCACAGCGTGGAACAAAACCCAAAACCCAAATCCATCTCCAGCTGAGCCACCCTGGGGCAAGGAGCACCACAGGCCCCTCCTCAGCCTGCCCTGCATTAGTCCCTTCCCCCCCACCTCCCCCGCAGACATGCCGGCCATCTCCCCCCTCAGACACCCTCCTCCGATCGCCCTCAGCTCACGCAGGCAAAGGGCCACCGCCCCATCTGCGCTCCTGTCTGTGTCTTCATCTCATGGGGGGCGGTTCTCAGCTGCTCACCCTTCCCCACAGACTCAGCCACACTCTCCCCCACACGGAGCAATTCTCGGGGACACCAGCTGGGTGTCTCACAATTTAAGTCAGTTCTGATACCATCTACCTGGACACCGATCCCACAGGTCAAGGGCTCCGTCCCACGAGACCACCCCGCAACTTCAGCTGCAGGTAGGGCATCCCCAGGTAACCCACAGCTTCTGTCTGACTTGACTACAAATCAGAGGTTCCCATGATGCCCTCCTCCTTGGATTTGAGCGTTTGCTAGAGCAGTTCATAGAACCCACAGAAACATCTACATTTACCAGTTTATTATATAATGAAGGATATGCCAAAGGCTAGAGATGAACAGCCAGCTGTGGGGACGCGGAGGGCGAGGTCCGGGAGGGTCCTGAGCACAAGAACTTCTGTCGCCATGAAGTTGGGGAGCTTCACCCTCCTGGCACACGGATGTGTTCACCCACCCAGAGGCTCTCCAAACCCTACACTTTTGGGATTTTATGGAGGCTTCCTCACGTAGGCACGATCGATTAATCCAATTCCAGCCCCTCTCCTCTCCTAGGAGGATGGGGGCTGGGGCTGAATATTCCAAGCCTCCACCATGACTAGGTCTTTCTGGTGGCCAGTCCCCATCCCGGAGCCCAGCCAGAGTCGCCTCTTTAGGACAAAAGACA